CCCACCTCCCGGACCCCAGCAGCAGCTTCAGGGAAGACGCCCCCCCCCCCCCCGTCCCGGGGGAAGAAGGAGAAGCCCCCTGCCCGCCGCCGCTCGCCAACTCGTTTCTCCCCAGAAGCCAAAGCTTCAAGGCCGTGCCGGTGCCGCCCGCCCCGCGGAGGAATGAGAACGGACTCGGGGAGCCGGAGGGCAGCGCATCCCCAGACTCCCCTCTGGCCCGATGGACCAAATCCTTGCATTCCTTGTTGGGAGATCAAGATGGTGCCTATCTTTTTCGGACCTTCCTGGAAAGGGAAAAATGTGTGGATACCTTAGACTTCTGGTTTGCCTGCAATGGCTTCAGGCAGATGGACCTTAAGGATACCAAAACTTTAAGAGTAGCCAAAGCTATATACAAAAGGTACATCGAGAACAACAGCATCGTCTCCAAGCAGCTCAAGCCTGCTACCAAGACCTACATAAGGGATAGCATCAAGAAGCAGCAGATAGATTCGATCATGTTTGATCAGGCGCAGACTGAGATTCAGACTGTGATGGAGGAAAATGCTTACCAGATGTTTTTAACTTCTGATATATACCTCGAATATGTAAGGAGTGGAGGAGAGAATCCTGCTTACATGAACAGCAACGGACTGGGGAGCTTAAAAGTTGTCTGTGGCTATCTCCCGACCTTGAATGAAGAAGAGGAATGGAGCTGTGCGGACTTTAAAAACAAAATCTTGCCTTCGGTAGTTGGACTATCCAGCAAGACGTTGAGGGTTACGGCAAACGTCAGAGCTACGGAAACGATCGAGAACGGATACAGGTAAGGGAACCCCTGGAAACTGTGCTTTGTTTTAACTTTGAGGACTTTGAGAGGGTTTTTTGGAAGGCTGGTGGGACGGTGTGCTGGGCAGCTAGCAGGGAGGTGAGGGGAGGCTGGGCTTCCCCTGGAGCTGGGAGCATGGGAGCTGCCCCGCACCTCCAGACACTGGAATTTGGGGGGTCTTGTCTGGGTTTGGGGTGCTTTTTCCCCCCTCTGTACGGAGGAAAACAAGGTATTGTGCTCGTAAGTCCTGTTGGCTCTTTCAGTTCTCTTCTAGATCAAAAACTTCATGGCAACTATGTCCTCCGGACATATGTTAATTGTTGGTTCAACTTTCAAACCTATTAAGAGCAGTAGTAGAGTGGATCATAGAGACGCATGAATAATGTAACCTACTAGTTCCCCAACTCCACCATCAACCAGTGTTTAACTATGTTGGTTATGTGGGAAGCAATTGTGCGGTTGTGGAGGAGGAAACGTATGCACTTACTACATCAAACTCTGCAACTTACCCCAAATCTGCTTTTATTTTGACCGTGTGTGTGTACAGCCTCTCCCCATCGCGTTGGGTGTTGGTATCATGTCAGAGCCATTTAGGATGGCTTTGAGCCAATGCATACAGGAGGATACTTCAAATTGAGTGTTTAAGGTAATAGAGACGTTCCAGGTATAGGGTAGTAGTAGGTCTTTGGTGCTCTCCTGTAGATCTTTGTTGCTCTCCTGTTGGCCGTGTGCTCAAAGTTAAACTTATTAAACCGTGGTTGCATCTATTGGCAGCTTGTGAGGGTGTGGGGAGTGTTGTGTGGTGGCAGGGTCTTCTTGGATTGGGGTGCATCGGCATTGGCGAACCCTTCTCTTTTGTTGAAAACGTTGGTGGCAGAGCGGTGTGAGGGTGCAGAAAGTAAGAGCCATCTCGAAGTGAAGGCGGGGGGGATGGGAAAGAGAGTCTCGGATGAGCAAATGATGAGTTGTATAATCCTCTGAAAATGTATTCTTTCCTCTCCCCACCCTTGCCATAAATGTGGATTGTTGAATCGGGGCTGAGAGGAGAGGGCTCTGCTGGCAGATGGGCGCTCTCCTCTGCTGGCCCAGGAGGTTGGGGTTTGGTATGGTGAGTGTTTGACATCTCGTTTACAGGAATTTTGAGAGTGTGTCTGTGATTCACGGACATCAAAGGGCACCGGGCTTCTCCTGGGGAGGCTTTGCTGGAGCACGTCCTCCTCTCCTGCCCTGCGGAGAACTTCCAGCTGTGCCGGGCTTCCCGGTACGGGGAGCTGGGAGGGTGCTCTTGCCCGCGAGGGTGCTGTGGAGCCAGAGACCTCTTTGGTCCTCTCCCTCTCCTGGAGGGGTGATGGGTGTGGGTGCAGACAGGAGGGATGCGCTTCGTCCCGGCGTGGCCTGTGGACCTCTCCCGCTGGGGGCTGCGTTGGGGGGACACTGGCTGGCAGCTGGTCTGTGGAGGACTTGGGCTTTGGGATCCTCCTCTTGTGCCTGAACGTTACTGTCTGAGCATCTGCTGTTCCGCAGAACCTGGTTTGAACTGCTGCCCTTCGCTTGCTTTCCAGGAGGGGGATGTTTGATGCTTTTATCTCTCAGCCTTTGTTGGTATTCAGTGCTGGAAGGGCTTGGCTGTAATGTTCTACCAGAGCTGCAGGCCCTGCAGAAAACCCACATGTGCCTTGTCCAGGAGAGCTCTCGCAGAACAGTGGCTGCTTGCCTGATTAGTGCTGGGTTTTTTTTTCCTTTTCTTTTCTTTTTTTTTTTTTTCTTTTCTTTTTTGTCCAGGGATTAATGCAGCTTGCTCCTCACATGTCAGATCTGCCCTCCTAGGACATTAGGTGGTGCATTTTGCTTTGATCACCTTCTGTTGAATTTCTAGGAGCTTTTGCTCTCCATGGGGCCAAGAGATCTCAATGCAAAGAGAGGGAGGTCAAGCTGAGATGCGTCTCAGTTCCTCCCCGAGCTATCCATTTGTGAAGCCACTTGTGCGTGCATGTGCTAGAAGCTGATGAGCATATGGATGGGTTATCTCTCATCGCTCGGCATTTAGGATTACGTTTAGGATTGGAGCTTGAAGCTTGCACAAAGTCTTTCCTGGTGACCGGCCAAACCACACCTCCCTCCTCGTGTGTGTGGTGGAATTAAAGCACTTCTGCTCGGTGCGTTCTGGTTTTGAAGCGCTGCGCAGGCTCTCGCCGCTCACTCCAGTGGGTTTCCATGGGATTATGCCAGCGAAAGCCGGGAGCGCTGGGCTGAGCGCACCTGACAGCAGGAGTCTCAGGCCAGCCCAGTATGCGGATGGGAGACCACCTGGAAGTCCCAGGGCACGGAGTCACGGCCAAAAACACGGGAGACCACAGAAACTGTACAAGTTGAAAGACTTTGTTTGGCCCCAGCATCAGTGGTGGACGCGGGCAGGAGAAGTCAAGTGAAAACGCAGTGCGTGCGCCTGGCTGCGAAAGGGGTGTATGCGTGCAAACTGCTGGCTGGAGCCCCAAAACAGGGCATGTTTGAACTGTAGAACCTCCCTCTCGTCCTTCAAAGCGGTTCCCCTCCCCGGTAGGTTGTGGTGTGGTTAAAAGTGGCCTCCCCGCGCTGCGCCGGACCTGGCCCCATGCTCCAGGAATTCCAGCTATTATTTATAAGCGCTTCTAAATTTATCACGCACGACTTTGTGTACACAGAGAGGGCTTCTTCCTTTGCAGCGCCGCTGGGTAACGTGGTTTTGTTCGGGCCAAGGTGGACTCATCTGCCTCCCATTAAGCTCTAACATCAGCGGGACTGGGGCTTGCAGATGGCCTTCTGCCGGCTCCCAGTGCTTCCTGGCCTTTGAAAGGACCCGCCGGTGGAGCTCCTTGTGTGTGAAGTTATTGGAACCAAGTTTGGCTTCAATTATCAAAGTAAATGATGCCATTGTAAAGCTATGCTCCAAGCAGTGTTCTACAATTAGAGCATGGAAGCACTGATTAACATAGTTTTGTCAAAATATACTTCTTTTTTTTTTCCTCCTCAGGTTTGTGCATGCTTTTTTTTTTTTTTCTCCTTTTTTTTTGTCTTTAAACCCATGATTACCCAGTGATGTTTGTCCCAAGGAAATACTTAATGAGATTCAGTTTTGCCTCAAAATGCTCCTTGTAGATTTCCTTCTGTCTCTGTATCAATCTGTGGTTTGAACTGCCAGAGTGCTTTTTATTTCTAAGAAACAGAGTTTGACAATAAAATAAAAAAAAAAAACCAAAACAAAAAAACCCAACAAAACAACCCTACACTCTGAAATAGCACCCTCATAACAGGGGATACAACCAAGAGCCCCTGAAATTTTCATGGCATTATAATACCTCTGATATGCCCATCGCCTAACATAGCGTGTAGAGAGTTACACGCTGTGTGTCATCGCATCAAGATAAGAATAGGCTGAGAAACATCAGACATTCTCCTTGAAGCTCCAGAGCAACTGCTACCTGACAGCTGAAAACACTTTGCATATTGAGTTTGGAGCTGGGGTGTGTGTTTGTGTGTGTGCAGCATCTGCGGCGGGAGACCACCGCTCTCCACTGGAATTTAAAACCCTCCCAGGCAACTTGATGCATCTGGGTGCAATTACTGTAGTAAGGTGGTCAAATTAAAAAAAAAAAAAAAAAATTAAACACGGCAAAACAGCCCCCATTGGTTTTCTTAAAGGATGTAGGGATTTTTGTGGGGCAGCATGTTGGAGGTGGAGTTGGGGCGCTGGCTTTAAAAATACATGAACTTTGAGGATTTGGGTTTTTTTTTGTCTGTGAGGTGTTGGTAGGTGAGTCGGTGCTGCGGTCCAGTACTGATGGGAAGATGAGTTAGTTCTGGCCACTTTCTCTAATTATATCTTTCCAAAGGCTGTGTTTGGACACACCTCCTCTCCCTGTGCTGTGTTCATACGGACCCGCTGCCGCCACCCCCACCCTGGCCTCTCCAGCAGTCATGTCTGCTGGAAGAACATGGCACATCAGCCCTCCTGGGTGCCACCAGGGGTGACATGGCCACCTCCCAGCCAAGTGGTGGTCCTGTGCCGGGGAGCAGCCTGCACTCCTGAGCCGTGTGGTCCTCTCGGATGCGCTCTCAAGACCCGAGATGGTTTCAAATCAGATAGTTGTAAGAGCTGCGTCCCTTATGCGGTTGACCCAAAAGCCCACCAAGGATCTAGAAAGGGTCACTTGGACTGCACATCCCCCCAAATCAGAGTAGGAGACTACATGGTCTTTAGAGGAACTTTTTTGTAGTAGTAGTCGGATAACTTAGCTTTCACCCACATGTGGAATTAATTTATCTTTGAATATTTAACTTCTTTCCTGTGGCATTCCTTACTATCTCTTTTTTTTTTTTTTTTTTCCTTCTCCCTTCTTCCCAGATATATATTTTTTAACATCTTGATCTCCCCATCAGAAGTGCCGTGGCCTCCTTCGGAAAGGAATGCAGCCCCGGCTGGGCTGAATACCTGCCTGCTGCCAGCCCCAGCCCCGCGCTGCTCATACCAGAGAGGCCCATCTTCCCCGCCATCCCCTCCTGCGTTTTTTTTTTTTTTTCCCAACTTTTTCAAACTTTTTTTTTTTAAAACTTAAGCCTTTGTGGAGGCTCCTGGTTTTGGGGCTGGCGGAGCAGGACCGCGTGGGGTGCCTGGGTGGCCGTGAGGGATGGAGAGCGGGGCAGTGGGAGGACATTGCTGCTCACTTAAACCCAGCTGGTCCCCTCCGACCCCCCAGGGGGGGCAGGGAGGTGGAAAGCCCATTAAAAAAAACCTGCCGAGCCTGCTGGCACATTCCTTAGGCCCCCAAGTCCTGGGTAAGTGGCCCTAATTATTAAAATCAGCAGTCCTTATCAGATGACAAGGCCTTTTGCTTTGATATACAAAGGCAGAAGCTTAACAACCCCATCTTCCCCTGGAAGAGGAACAAAATGTGCACCTTAACACTCAGCTTTCAAGCCTCCCCGCATAATCCCCTTATCGCCTGCCCAAGATATGTATATTGATCCCGGCTGGGAAGTTGGAGTAATGGGAGGTGTCGGGCAGGGGGACGCCCAGGTCCCCCCCATGCGGTGACCCTACCATCGTGACCCCGCCATGCTCCGTCACAGCTCGTGTCACTGCCCATGAATTTTTCATGCGTCCGCTCTTGGGTACTCAACTCGAGCATCCAGGCTGGGCTCTGGGTTTGCTTCTCCAAGTGAAGCCAGAGTTGGTGGCATCAGTAACCATCACGCCCATTAGTATGACCTGCTGCTGCTGTCCCCGCCTCCCCCATCCTCCTCTTCCCCACCCAGCTGCACCCAAAAGTTGAACAAGTGGTCGGTTCTCCTAAAAACTGGGCCTTTATATTGCGTGTTTTTATAATGCCAGGAAGATGGCACCCACCTTTGGGAGGCCAAGCCTGAGACAGCAGATTCCAGCCCTGTCCATGCCTCCTCTGACGCGTGGTGGTCCTGCTCCAGTAGTTTCGGGCAGTTCTCTTGTTTCAGGCAACACAGATATGTATCTTATATTCCCAAAGGGGCCCTAACTCCTGTCTTCAGAGTGGACTTAAGCATTTATTAGCTGGTGCCTCAATGGCTTTCAGTGGCACTTGAGCTCTGAACTTCTTCATCTTTTGCCTGCTGATGCCAACAGCAAACCTCCCACTCAACTCAGCAGTGCAGCGTCAAGCTTTAAGGACCAAGTTTTTGAAGGTATCAGAGCACCTAGAGGTGCTTCACAGGATTTTCTAAAGTGTGCTTCTAGTGTCAAAAGCAACATCTTCAAAGTTGGACTTTGGGTGTGTTTAGACAGAGCGTGTCCTGGTTGCTGCTAGCCTGAGCAGTGGATGGTTTGTTGCTTCTGGAGAGGTTGAGCAGCCAGTGTGTGTGGTTCCCATAAGGAGAGGACTACCATGAAACTCGTGTGCTTTCCTGTAGCCCAAGACTGGCTGGTAACTAGATTCCTGTTTTGCTTGTCCCCAGGTCCTTCAAGAGGAATGATCCCGTTAACCCATACCATGTGAATTCTGGCTATGTTTTCGCCCCAGCAACCAGCGCGAACGATAGTGAAATATCTAGTGATGCCCTGACGGACGACTCCATGTCGATGACAGACAGCAGCGTGTAAGTACCATGTGTCAGACGGGTCCTTTTGGGATGTGCCGTCTGTGACTCAGCTGCGCCCCTGCGCCGTGGAGGCTCCCGGGAGCGATGGGTCCAGGGTCATCACCCGTCTTCTGCTTGCCGTTGGTGATGGGCTGCTGAAACTGCGGCGTGTGCCCAAACCGAGAGGTGTAGCAGGGTGATAGCCTCACTCTTGCTGCGGTCGCCAGAGGTATCGGATGGAGTAAAAGGATGAATCCCTCTATTGCCATTTTGCAACTGCAGCTGAGCAAACGTGTTTTCCCCTGTGCTGATGGTGCTGCCTGACTAACCCAAGGAGTGTATCTCCCCGAGCCTTTGTCTTAAGGCCAGGCTTCCTTAACTAGTTATCAGTCATCAAAGAGGAGGAGATTACTTCCTGTAGGAAGTACTTTCTGTTATTAAGGTTTGTCATTAATGTCAGAATATACATTAATAGGGCCAGTGACCTGAAGGGGCAAATAGCTGCTCATCTAGTGCGGCTGGGGCAGTCTTCAAAGAGCCATTTGAATGGAGCTGCACGGATCAGGTCTGGGTGTTTCAGGAGCGTAGAGATGAGGGATGATGCTGTGGCCCAGCCCAGGAGTTGCAGGATCTGTCTTTTCCTCCTGACTCTGCTGAGAAGTGTGCAACCAGGAGCAAGTCCTTTCACCATCCTCGGTTTGCTTTCCCCAGCAGGAGAGAAATGGTGCTTTTGTGTCCATAGAGGAGACAGTAAGACTCACTTAGTGCTCTTAAGGACCATTTTCTTCAGCTGGGCAGAAGGCAGATGTTGCCGTTTGTGTTTCATGATCCTCACTTAAGCACAAGTGCTCTAGAAAAACCCACCTGTAAACAGTGCGCTTTGTTCCTGCTCTTCATCTCAGAGGTGAAACTTCTCCACTTCTCTGTCAGATGTGTCGGGTGATTACTGTGTACCCCTCAGAGAGGTTTGCATGCTGGGTTTTTAAAGTCCACAGTGCTGGGTGGTGCACTACGGAAAACAGGATTTACCAAAAATCCTTGATGTGTAAACAAAAGCTTTTTTTTTTTTTTTTTTAATGCACATGTGTGTTTTGAACTGATATTATGGAAAAAAATAGTTTGTTGTCCCACCAGATTCCCTTATTGAACAATATTGGCATTAAATAAAAGAGCTGAATCATAGGGTGACTTCTTTATTTCTTCTTACTGGCTCTGGTTGTATGTGATCATGTGTCAACAGAGCATTCATTGGGTTAGTCATTTCTGGACCAGTGTAGGGTCACTTGGGATTCACAGGGCTAGGATTATACCCTCTCTTCACAGCAATGCCAATTGTAGGCCTTATACAGATGAGAGCACTGAGTGAGAAATAAAGTGCATGGTGGATGAAAGGCTTAACTGAATCGCTTTCAGCCCATTGTTAGTCCAGGGGAGCTTAGCGGGGATGAGAGGGCAGCAGCCCGCTTTGAAATTTGCTTGAACAAGTGAATAGGAGCTCCCCATAAAGCAGCGCGTGAAAGGAGCCTGCCTGTTTTTTCCTGCCGTAACAATAGCCCGCGCAGGCTGGGAGAGTTTGGGGAAGCTTGGCTGATTAAACTGCCCGCAGCTCCAGGTTGGGGGGCGGCGGGGAGGACTTTGGGGGAGGCAGGGCGGGGGGAGAGCAGCGGGATGGCGGAGGTTGGAGGAATATCTCCGGCTGCAGAACCGGTCCCCCGGGCATCCCCGGAGCCACGCTCCGTCCGCGGGGCCGGGAACAGGCGGGATGTTGGGGTGGTTTTGGGAGAGGTAAATTGGCAGTTTTGGAGGCTGGGCTTAAGTTAAGTTAAAGTTAAGGCTGATGTAAAACTTCCTTCGCAGAGGCGGAGGGCTGCTGCCAAGATTGCAGTAAAAAATTTGGGGTTTGGTTGGGTTTTTTTTTTGGCCTTTCCTGGTACCTGGCTCTGCTGGTTGCTGAAGATGCTGTGAAGGTGTTCGGGGCACAAACCCACTGTCCTTCCACAGGCTGAGCCCCAGTGCTTGTCTGCCCGCAAGGTTTTACCCCCTCTTTAACAGAGGACCCGGGTTTATTCTGTTTCGTCAGTGTGAATGCAAATGAGTTCTTTTGGCTTATATTGGTATCAACTGAAGAGGAAAAACTTGTTCTGGAAAAGTCTGTCAGACATAGCAGTAAAGTGAGGGTTGGTGTTTTTTTTTTTAAATAAATCTAAATCTGAACTGTGCTGGAATTAGGAGAGGTCTCCAAATAATGCCCAATCTGCCTTTTTTTTTTTTTTTTTTTTATTATAGATGCCAGGGATCAGTCTGTATGTATAGATTTTGTAATAGCCACAAAGCATCATGCAAATTTACATTTCCATTTCTTGATTGGGGGGGGGGGGGGGGGGGGGAAAGGGGATTTTTTTTTTTTATTTGCTTATATCTTATTTATGGATTTACTTTGGACACAGGGGAATGCTGCTGAGCAAACTTCAAATATTACCTTATCTTACAAACCAGGCTTTTGATGTTGGCAAGATCAGAGGCTTGTTTCAGAGCCGTTGCCAAATGAAGATGGGAGTGAATGCATATGCGCATGAGTCTGATATTTCAAAGCAGCAGTAAAACTACATTCAGGTTAGGTCAGGCACATCTGAGTCAAAAGGCTAAGATAATTGGCTCAGCTTAAATGGCAGCTGACTGGGTAGAAGACTTCAAACTAGTGTTTCCCCCAGAAACAGATTGGCTTAGCCCCAGCCTGGTTAGCTGAAATGTTTATAATTAAACTCTACTATTTAGTGCCTAAACTCCGTAGCTCTTCAGCCCGCAGCTTTTAGTAGCCAAGAAAGTGAGTGCAAATGTTTGCTGCTGGAGCAAGGGGAGAGGGGGCACCTGGAGAGCTGGGCTTAACTTCCTCCTGCCCCGAAACCTCTGGCCAAGCTCAGCCTTTTCATTTCAAAGGCACTTTCTCCTGTTGGAGGGGTCTGCTTCAGCACCAGGCTTCCCCCTGTATCTCCTGCTGTACTGACCCTGGCTCCAGCTCCGTCCCTCTGTCCCTCCTGCAGTCAGGGTTCACCCGTTGGTCCCCCCTTCAACCCTGGCATTGTCCGTTTTCCCCCTGTTTTAGTCATTTTCCACTCGTTTTAGACAGCACTCATCAAAGTGGCTGTAAAGATCCCTCCCTGTTCCCCAGGCTGATTTTCCCAAGCTGCGCCATAGCCTTCCCATCCCAGTGAAATACCATTTAAAAAAAAAAAAATATCTTTTTTTAATTCTTCATGTTGTTACAAGTTGTAAAACTCTCCTGACAAGGCAGGGCTGTAGAAGCAGGGAGCAGGAGGTCTGATCTGGGGCTCTCCGGTGTAAACGGAGGAGTTTTAGGGGGAAGGAGCAGCTTTTGTACTGACCTGAACGAGGGCAAATCTTAAGTACAGTGAGGAGCCATGCTGTTGGGTCAGCGTTGCTTTTCCTCCTCCTTTTCAAGCCACCCTGGCTGTGAATGGCGTGAGTCCCCTCTCCTTCTCCATAGCCTGTCCCAGGACTGTCCCTTTAGGCAGAGATGGTCCCCTGGAGCTGGGAGTCTGGGGACACCCTGCAAGGAGAAGTGCTCCCAGCTCGGTGGCCGCAGCAGAGGGGCTGGGGACAGCATCTTGTGCTTGTGGACCTGGAGGGAGGTGGGGAGCACAGGAGGGCTGTGGGGTTCCCTGTTGTCCCTTGGTCATGTCCATGGGTGCCTTGTGTTGAAGGCATAGACCTTCAGCTGCTTTCCTACTCTTCCCCGTCTGGCCTCTTGGACTGACGTTTATAGAGGACACCTCCTCTTTAATTGAATATGTTAACGGGATTAGTTCCGAATGTATGCATGCTTGTAACGTGCTCACGCTGGCATTTTTACTACCTTTAAAATGCCTATTTTACTTGTTATTCCCTATATTGAAGGTCTTCCCTAAGAGACCCTCATCTCAGTAAGCCTCAGTGAACAAATGCTTCTCTGAAGGTACAGATGATTTGGTTTTCACCTTAGATTTGCTTTTCCCGCGTCCTCCCCCAATGCTAAGGCATGTCATGTGCCCCCAGGCCCTGTTGCCCCATGGCTTCGTGGAGCAGAAATGCTTGGTGACCACCACCGGCTGCAGTTGGTGGCCATGACTGGCTGTGATAGCCGGTGTGTGCTGGGCCGCTTCCCCCAAAAGTGCTCCAGAGCCCTGTGTTGTGCAATAGGGACATCAGGACAATTAGCTCCTTTCACTTGTAATGTAACGCACGTTCATGGACCATGTCTAGAGGAGGTGGTGTTCATCTTGTGGCATCAAGGACTTTCTCTGCACTCCCAGCATGCTCTCTTTATTATAAAGATATTGCCAAGTTTATTAAGATGAAATTGTTCCGATCTTTCACTCCAGGCTTTGCAGCTTAATCTTGCTCATTAAAACAATTTAATGGCAACTGAATGCTTTGGCCAAGACCTTCTCAAAGGCCTGTGATAGTGTGCTGCAAACCTTGACCTTGCAATGGCATCTGATCATCCTCCTCAAGAGAAGGGACCTGGTGTCTCTGGGAAGGCCTTCCCTTGTGCCTTGTCTCTGGCAGCGCGTCCGAAACATGTCGGTGTGTGCCCACCACCACTGTGGCCATGGGAGGTGGCACGCAGGGACGCTGTGCCATGTCAGCTCCCCTGACAGCAGCATGGGGCCAGCGCTGTCTGCTCAGCCGCCGCCGCTCCTCCTTGGGCAGGAGCTATTTTCTCCTCTCAGGAGATGAGTCAGGTGTGGGGGCAGGTGGATGAAAGGGACGGGACCGGAGATCAAGGTTATTCAGCCAGTCTGAGGGAAGGGGTGGAATTAGACATTCAGGATCTCCAGGCATGCTCTTCCGGCTGTCCCCGCTGTCTGTAGAAGGCCCTTTAATCCTAACTGAGGTAATTTTTTATGTGGCCGGATGAAAACACCCCGCGTTGCCTCGAGTGGGCTGTGCAGGGGGCTGTTCCCACCAGTGCTCCTCGCCTGGTCTCTTCTCATGGCTTCCTGGCCATGAGCTGGCGTGGCCAAGGGGAGCAACGTTGTGCCCGGAGGGTATGGCCTGTCCTTTGCTGGTGCTTTGTGGTGGCCTGCCTGTGCCTGCCAGCCTCAGGGCAGGAGAAACATCCCAGATCTTAAGTAGGGCTGAAGTTAGGGAGCCGCCTTTTGGTGGTCATCCATCTTCATTCTCTTCCTTCTTGTTTCCACTGTGCCAATGCTCCATGGGGTGTTTTAGAGGTTGAGGAAGGTTGTGGTCTTAAGAGAGCGTAATTCAGTTATGAAAAAGCAACAAAAATAAAGTGCAGAAGCAGAAACCTAGCATTGGAAGGGCCTTTCACTGCCTCAGAAGTGAAGCCGAGGGGATCTTTGGGCGTCTTCCCATGCGGAGTTGCCTTCAGCTTGCTTTTCAGCTTTTGCTTAATTACTGCACATCCATGTAGGTGGTGACACAGGCACTTCCCAAGCTGCCAGATGTTTGAGGTGACATCCAGAGGGCTCAGCACCTCTAGGAACGTGGACCTGTGGCATGCCTGGGTGGTTTCAGAGGTGGTGGAGAAGTGTCTTGGTTAGGGCGTGGGGAGGGCCCTGACTGACCCTGACCTCTCATCCGTATGCAGAGATGGGATCCCCCCGTACAGAATTGGGAGCAAGAAGCAGCTCCAGCGGGAAATGCATCGGAGCGTCAAGGCCAACGGTCAAGTTTCTCTACCTCATTTTCCGGTAAGTTCAGGTGGGAGCTGCAGGGTCTGGGTTGGCCATGGGAAATGCTGGGAATGGGCACGGGTGGAGGGAAGGGACCATGGGAGCAGAGTGTTTCCATCCGTATGTGGTGCCAGAGAAGAGGTGCTGCTTGGTGTTGAGCAGGAGCCATGTGTTCTCAGCATCCTTGCAAAAACCTGCTTGTGTACAGTCACGTTGTGGTCCTTCCCTGGCAACCAGGTGCTAATTAGGGCTTTTCAATGGCACTGGAGTTGTTCTCCTGGTCTAAATCCAAGCAGTGATACCTCTATTGGGTCTAGTAAGAGCACTGGCTCTGGTCACTACCCTGACACCTCCGCCGGTGCCAAGCAGACCAAGGCTTTGCCTCATGCAGCGCTGGTGGCCTTTAAAAGCACATCGTATGTAAGCTGGTGGGAAGCAGGGTCTCCCAAAAGAGAGACATCTGCAGCAGATACGTGCCTTGCTTTGAGGGGATCTGATTTGCAGTGTTGCTGTCCTCTCAAAAATTAACTCGCTGACTTGCTAATTCAGTTGACTCGCAGACTCCCGATTCCTGCAGCGAATAAACTGTTTACACAGACAAGTATAAACTTATCTTGTCTTGAGATTAATATGCTAAAATTCCTCTTTCTGCTGTCTTAAGCAGCAAGAAATCATAGATGATATTTCTGGTGGAGGGTGGGGGTGGTTTATGTGGTTTTTCTTTTTGGTGTTTTTTTTTCCCCTTCCTCCATAAAGAAAGTTCTATAGCCTGAGCTTGTAAATTAGATTATTTTGTCCCAGGGCGTGCAAATCGACTTTCTCTGTAAGGCAGTGCTTTGATCAGGGACTGAATAGAGCCAGCTTGTGTAAGAGTGACAATTTCCAGCAGAGTGGCCTTTTTCTACCCTCACATCATTTCTGGAGCTAAGTGGTTGCCGGAGAGAGGCCCCACCTCATCTGGTGGGTAGTATGTGAAAGAGTTGGCAGTTCAGCTTTCTGCTCTTGCGGGGGGGAGAGAAAAAAAAAAGAGATGGAGAGTGGGGGCGAGGAGTGGGGTGCATGGGGGTGGCAGGAGGGAGGGCAGAGTTAGGTGGGTGGTTTCTTTTTCCTCTTTTTTTTTTTCTTTCTTCTTCTTTCCTCCTCTTTTCCTGCCATGTTTGCTTCTTTTGGCAGAAATTCGCGTTTTGCCTTTTTATATTCTGCACTTGATTTGGAGATGTTCCCTTTTTCCCTTGATAGATCTGCTTGAGGCAGCCAAGCTCAGCAGTGTAGCACCGCTAGCCTGCAGCAGCTTTCTTCATTTTCTGTACAAAGAGATGGAGGGGGGGGGAAGAGATCTAGGACACTGTTGAGACAACACTACCTCAAAGGTGCCCAGTGTGTAGCCAGGAAATAAATTACCAGCACTTCTCTGATCTGCAACCGTTTGACTTCTTTTTTTTTTTTTTTTCCCTTTTTTTTTTCTCCTTTCCCTTTTTCTCCCCCATCTTATTTTTTTTAATTTCCAACTCCTTTCTGTTTATACTCACTTTATTCCTTGAGTTAAAGTCTCTCCCTCCCACCTCAGAGGTTTTTTTTTTTTTTTTTTTTTTTTTTTTTGATGTTTGACAACAGTCTTTGAAGATTTTCTACTTCAGAGTAGCTACTGATGGGCTGGTTGTACTACAGAGAGAACAAGCGGGGTTCCTCAGAGTGCGACCAACTGCTCCTGCCGAAGGCAAACGCTGGTGGGGAGGATGTCACTCCATGAGGCCACAGCACTAGCTCATAAAAATCCAGAGCAGACCATGCCTAGTTGCGGCCGTCTTTTCATCCAAACATGGAGACACAACAAGCGTAGCGGGGCCGGCGATGCCGCTCCGGCTAAGCGCCCGTGCCCTGCGCCGCCCGCTAAACATGCCTTGTGCCTTCTGTCCCCGCTCCTTGTAGAGGACCCACCGTCTTCCCAAGGAGATGACCCCGGTGGAGCCGGCTGCCTTTGCCGCGGAGCTCATTTCCCGGTTGGAGAAGCTGAAGCAGGAGCAGGAAACCATGGACAGTCTGGAGGAGAGGCTGCAGCAAATCAAGGAGGTAGGAGGATTAACCCTGCCGGGGCCGGGCAGAGCTCGCTGCTTGCCGCCTGGCTGGGGGGGTGGTGGGAAGGGGCCGTATCCTGCCCATGGGGAGGAACGCGTTTCGATCGCACTGCGGTTTGCGAGCCCGTGGAGGGGGGGGGTGGGATGTCCTCGCCAGCTCCCCGTCCTCTTGCATTCATTTCTCGCCATCGCTTGGCTGGCAGGACGAGGAGAAGGAGGGGGCCGAGCTGCCCGC